TACTCGCCCTAGTTTCCTATGTGATATAAAGAATCTGACAAATCCGTTTTGGTGTGCAAGTTAGATAAGATTAAAAAAAAATTGTAAAGCTTGCAAACTCCTCCATTTTAGCAAAAAATCTCCAAAGACAAGTGATATCGCTGAACTATTCTACATCTGCATGGTACGTGTGCATTTTATAAGCTCTTTTTCGTTCATCATTGTTCTCAGAGTCACGGATGAGGTTGAATCCATAACGCATATTACGAATAGATTCTCATATGGAACTGAAACGCACAATATACACATATATATAATCCAGCGGAGAGGGAAAAAAGAACTACCTCTTTAAATTGCAGTTGTGGGGTTGCCATCTCCAGAACTGGTACCCTATATCACGCCTTCCATGCTTGTGACAAGCCAATTGATCAGACATGTATGGACAACTAGACTCACTATACAGTGGATAAGAAATATTATCGAAAACCCATTTGCCCAAATGCACGTCACACTCTTCCGGCCACTGCACTCCTCCCTGACCACCAGACTCTGCGGTGTCGACTGCCCAGACAGCTCTCCTCCCACTGTATGGTACAGTGGAACTGCATTTACTAAATTTATCCAAACCAACTACATCCCAACAAGAAAAAGCCATCACATACCAAAAATAATCACAGCACATCAAAATCCAAACCAAATCAAGAAACCCATGTCTCTATATTCCATTAAAATACACAAAACAACACAAACTTAAAAACCCCTGTCCTCAAATTCCAGAAACACATAAAACAACACAAACTCGAAAACCGAGTAACAATACCTAATCAATTTTACGAATTCTGTCGTAATAAGATTAAGCCTACATAAAAGTTAATTTTTTCACCTGGGAGTTTCTTTGGAAGAGTAAAGTTCTGGGCAGGCGTTGATTTTGGTAAAGACTCAATTTTTATTGCAGATTGGTGATTATTATCATCATTTCCGGATTGTTCAGTGTTGATTTGTCGAATGTTACACTCATTGTACAGAATCGAAAACACTATGAACGCAAAGAAGAAGAGTGCCAAAATAGGCAACTGTGTCTTCTTCTTCATTTTGTGTGGAATTGGGAAAGATAGGACGCGTAGGAATCTAGAAGAATGTTTATACAATTTCAATATTTTGGAGGGCCGCCAGAGTGACTCTTGCTAGCAGTATCCGAGGAAATAGTTAAATTTTGATTATTATATGGTAATAAAAAATTGTGTGATTATAGTTTTAAATGGTTACTTGTTTGGATTTTGTCGGATTTCTTATTAAGATTTACGTAAATATTATTCTTTCTATTGGGATTGATTATTAATTCTAACACAGGTCAAACAACAAAAACCAAGCGAAGGACAATTAAAAATGAGGAATTTGTTGAAAAAGTGAAAGTCAACAAATAAAATAAAAAATAACTTTCATTCACCTTTGAATATCATTTTTATTCTTTATTGTAACATTCTCACTCAATTTTGATCATGTTTCTAGGACGGAATAGGGCTAGAATTGAGAATGGAGAGTGGTGCGGGAAAGAGAAAAATGGAGATTGAGGTGGGGTAGGCGAGGAACAATATGATTGTGAAAAGAAGATTAATCAAGTTAAATTAAGAATTTAATATTTGGAAAAAAAAAAGAAGCTTTTAAATAAAGAATTCAATATTGTTTGTTATTTTTAGAATTTCATCATTAAAAATCTGTACTTATTTTAACATATTATTGGTCCCACTTGAATGGGCAGTTGATTAATATGAATTCAAAATTTTATTTATTTTATGTTATTTTGGGTTCAATAATGCTATTCTTAAATTTGGTGGGGAACCATTTGGAAGACATTAGAAGCTGAAAGTTCAAAAATAAAAATAAAAAATAAAAAAAATCAATTTAGTCAGTAAAGTTTATATCTGTTGAACCACTAAACTTCATTTTAATTTCAATCTCACCGCTTAGTCATATTTTATCATCTTTCTTCCCAATTTCCATTGATCGACCTCACATTTGATTTCCCCTAGGGGAATTTTAGTCCCATTGGTTAGTCGACTCAACATGTCTCCATACGAGTGTGCCTATTGGAGTCTTGAAAATTAGCCAACTCTATAGTAAAAAAATGACAGTCAAAGTTTTGGCTAGTGTATGTGTCCTTGAGAAAGAGATGCTCTATTGTTGTTAACTTAGTAGTTGGGATCAATACCGAAAGTATCAACCCGAAGATATAATTGTTGTGCCTTTCAAATTTCAATCTTGTCTCGTCTTTTTGTCGGATTATTATAAGCTTGGAGACTCCAAAATGATGAAACTTGCTTAGGTGTTGGTGTCTTTCACGTAATTATTATATGAAACTCTCAAAATAAAATGGTAAAAAAAGAAGAAGGTTTTGATGTCTTTAGAATGACGATTTTTTATATTAACAATTTTACAATGTGGCATTGTAGTAAATTGTCGTGCCAAGCACCAATTAATGGAAGATTATTTATAATATGGCTGTCAATTAGCAATTTTTATCAATTTGGTAAACAACATATGATGGAGTGATGAAATTTAAAATAAAACATAAGTCTAGTGACACTCATGGAATTAAATTTAGAGATATAATTGAGATAAATTTAAGTTTATTGACACATGAGATTTTACTTAAAGTTTAGTCACCACAGATAAAATTTACCATTTAGAAATATATTTTGATGCTATCAAAATCTCTAAATAATGGAATCATGCATTCATTGTCTACCTAAAATATTTGTTTATTACTATATTTGTTGCAAAATATAGTGTTATTCAGTAAAATATTTGATTAGTTTTCATAAAAAATTTAGGTCGACAACAATTTTTTGGTTACCATTTAAATGACTTGTTATGTGAATAAAAATAGAAATAAAGATGGAAGAAATTGGAGAAATTCAAACCATTTTCTATCTAAAGATACTGGGATCGTACAACAAATCAAGAAATCTTTTATAAAAAATATTTTCTTGAAAGTTGAAGTCGATAATATATTTGTGAAGCTTCAAGTTAGAAATCATTTTTACGGAATTCTTTCTTTTGTTACACGTGAAAATGCGATACTTTAAAATGCTTACCAATTTAGAAAGGAAATAACAAATCTCGATAGAGAAAATTTGTGTAGATAGTTAAAAGAAAATGAAAAAATGGTTCGAACCAGACATGATAAAATGACACTTAGAATCTCCCCTCATGTTGTGGATGAAAATTTGTTTTCTTAGTCGACGAGACTGCTTCTCTTGTTCACTCCACAAAATATAAAGCGGTGGAAGGTGCCAATCCTTGTTATCATCACATTGCAAATTCTAACTGCATAGTTCCAATTCTTGTAACTTCTAAAATAGGAGACCAGCTAATAAGTATGTTTTATATACTTATCCAGATTTCTTTTCTTATTCAACTATATGTAAATTGTGATTATTTTATTCAATTTGTGTAACTTATGTTAATTGTAGAAAAATTCCAACTGTGACATAAATTGTGTTAAAAAGTGCTATTTAGATATTTAATTAGAGTTAATTCGAAGCAATTGAAGATTATTGGAGTTGCAATCAATCAATTGGAAGTAGTAACAAAGCAGCATACAAAATTTATAAATTTCAGGTCGTAAATTAGATAACCAAAAATTTCGAGAACTAGCTTACAAACTTTCAAAACTTGCATCGCATCAATAATTTATGATTTTGGAACGACAAGGAGCAAATTAAAGTTTTCAATATGAAGGACTTACGTTGCAATTAAGGAACAACGTGAGCTAAATAATTGTAGAATTTTAGGGACCTAAATGAATAACATGCAAAATTCAAGGACTTTTAGCTATAAAATATCTTATTTTCCAATTTCGGGTAGAACTCTTCTTAAAATGCAATTTGACCACAATTTTGACGCCATTCTTAGATATATAAATACATACTTTCATCCTACAATTAGAAGATTTTCGATATTAATCATTACACACAAATTATACAAGGCAAATGAGCCTTTTGGAACACAAAATTCATATCAATTACAAGAAAAGAGAGTAAAAAAGGAGAGAAAAATAAAAATAAAAATAAAAATAAAAATCAAGTAAAATTTGGTGATGTCTTTAATTTTAATTTTATTTTTTCTTCCATGATGAGTGCTAAAATAATTAAGAATTTTAGGGACCTAAATGAATAACATGCAAACTTCAAGGACTTTGAGCTATAAAATATCTTATTTTCCTATTTCGGGTAGAACTCTTCTTAAAATGCAACTTGACAACAATTTTGACGCCATTCTTAGATATATAAATACATACTTTCATCCTACAATTAGAATATTGTCGATATTAATCGGTACACACAAATTATACAAGGCAAATGAGCCTTTTGGAACACAAAATTCATATCAATTACAAGAAAAGAGAGTAAAAAAGGAGAGAAAAATAAAAATAAAAATAAAAATAAAAATCAAGTAAAATTTGGTGATGTCTTTAATTTTAATTTTATTTTTTCTTCCATGATGAGTGCTAAAATAATTAGTTAGGAAGAACGATTATAACTTAGTTTTGAACATTAATTCTAATTATAGAGTTTTTTTTTTTTTTTTTATACCTTCAATTGGTGATATGAATTATTTTTACTTTAATTCTTAATGCTTTGAATTAATCGGCCATTAATTCATTGATTTCTTAGCAATTATTATGTCTAAACCAAGTAGTAAAACTTGTATTTTAGACAAAATGGTAGAAATACGCTTTTATAGTTGTCACAAACGTTTAGATGAATTATTTAGTAATTGGATACTCTTGATTAAAACATATTCAGATTTACCTAGAGTACAAGGTGGGATGATTTTATTGGACTTGATTGATTTGAACTCGAGAGATATAAATCAATTAATTTAGAAGAACTTGATTGGATACACGTAACCAATTGTTATAAAATTTGGTGATTGAGATTAAAGGGATAGTTATAGTGACTCGTAAATAATTCGATCGAGTACATATAATCAATTGTTATAGTATTTGATGATCGAGATTAAGGGGATAGCTATTGTGAACTCATAAATCCTAACATTTCAACCGTCGCATAAAAATCCACTCAAGCATTTATTAATTGTTTTAGGACATTTAAAATAGAAAATCATAAAATGAAAGAATCACATTCATTTGTCCTCAGTCGAATTGAAATTGGACAAACTAAATTAACGTTAGATAGTTCTCCTCTTGGGAATGATAATTTGGACCATTATATCCACTTTATTACTTATTACGATTCATACACTTGCAGAATATAAAATCAACAACACAAACTCAAAGAAGTTGATCGTTTAATGACATTCGTTCCATGTAACAATTTAATGGCTATTACACCTAACATAACATTAATCAGATTAACAAAACGACTAATTATATAAATTAGTTAACTCCAACGAGTAAAATGAGTCACATAATTACTTTTTATAACCAATGTAGAATTGTCTAAACTTCAGTGATCATTAGTGAAGCTAAATCAATTCATTCATCATGGTTTTTTGCCTATGCTAGTTTCCTTTTCTTATCGCCCATTCCTAATTCTATGTTTCTCCTTGATGGCCCTTCGAAATCTCTGGTGGAGCTCCTAGTCGAGAGATGGATTATGGCTACCATCGAATCACATTTTGTCACCCATCTTCCCTCCAATTTGGCATAATTATTTAATTAGCAATGCATACATACCATAATTGATCTTTCACATATCCGTTGTGTGATGTAGTAGTAAATTGATATGTCAGGTATCAGTGACATAAAAGATTTGTTATATATGGCTTTCAATTTTTCAAAATTTTTATCAATTTGAGAGACGACAAGTAATGGAATGTGAAATTTAAATCTACAATTGAAGTAAAGCAACTCAATTGAAACTAAATAGAAGTTTAGTTACATTTTAAGACAAATTAAAGTTTAATAACTCAATTGAAGTTTGTTAAAAGTTCAGTTCAGTGATCGCAAATGAATTTTACTATTGAAATTATACTTTGATGAACCGAAATCTATAAAGAAAAGCAAACATGAAACTATTGACAATGCATGCTTATACCTAACATAGGTAATCAACTATTTCTAAAAATTGGGAAGTACTTTTAGTAAAATGAAACATATATACTATCTTAACGAATTGCTATTTGAATAAAATTAAAAATAAAGATGGATGAAATGAGAAATTTGAACA